AAATGTCATTTCAGAAAAATCTGTAATGTTTTGGTCCTCAAAAGTATCTTCTACCTCTCATACTTCATGACACAAAAACCTTTGACCTTGGTTGGAGACCTTCTACTTCTCCCTACAGTTGGAATCCTCTGAATTCAAAATTGACAATGTGATCCAAATGCTTATTATTACTATTTCTGCATCCATGTCTCACAGAAAAAGCCAAAGTAACCCAGAAAATCCCAGGGGACTTCCTTAGGCAACACTGTACACAGCCAAGTTTCCATGTACAGAAAAGGAACTTATTTTCTTGACGAGTAGATTTGTGTAATTTCAACATAAAGAATGATCTAATTCAACTTTTAGCCCATGTCTTTCCACACATTTGAAGGAGTTACAAAGGAATTACAAACCCAAAATACCGAAAACTTTCTGGTGAGCAGAACATAAACAAATACAAAATACAGTCCTGTTTATCACAGGAAGTCACGAGGAGACCCCCAGGACTTGGAGGAGCTGGTGCCCAGGGAGCGTGCATTTAGTCACCCACTCACCCACTCATTCAGGTCAATCATAGGTAAATACGGTCTTTGTCTGTATAGCGCCTACATTCTGATGGCGAGCTAGGCCTATGTTTTACTATTTATTTTCAATTTGTTCCATTAGTTTTTGTTCTGTTTTTCCTTTCCTGCTTTTTTTAAGGATAATTTAATTATTTTGGAATTCCATTTATCTATTGACTTTTTAGCTATATCCCTTTGTATTGTTGTTGTTGTTATTATTGTTATTTATTATTATTATTATTATTATTCAGGGTAGCATTAGGGGATTGCAACCTACATTTTTAACATTTCAGTCTCCTTAGCATTAATATTGTGCCACTTTATGTTAAATGAAAGAAACTTGCAACCACAAAAGTCCATTTACTGTGCCCCCTCCCAACACTGGGCCTTTATGCTTTGGTTGTCAGAGATTTTCATATGTAAATATTATAAGCCCCACAATTCAAAGTTAAATTATTTGCTTTAAATAGTCATATGTACTTTAAAGATGTTAAGAGGAAAAAATGCTTTAAGAAAAAATACTGTCCTGTTATATCATATCTGGAATTCTTTTCTTACTAGAGAGCCATATTTCAATCTGGTGTGATTTCCCTTTGGCCTGGAGAACTTCTTTTGGTTTTCCTTGTAGCATAGGTTAGTGGATAATAAATTCTCTAGTTTACTTTTACCTGAAAATATCTTTATTTCATCTTAATTCTTGAAGGATGAATGCTTTTACTGATGTAGAATTCCAAGTTGACAAGTTTAGCTTTGCTGTCTCCTCTCTCTCTCTCTTTTATTTTTATCATTTTCACGGCAGAGCCTCTTTCTCCTCTGGAATCCATCATCACCAATGAGGAGTCAGAGGTGGTTTCTAGTGTTGTTCCCTGGTGGAATGTGCCATTTCAAAATTTATATTTTGTTTTCAGCAGTTTGACTATGATATATCTAGGTATGCTTTTCTTTGTATTTATTTTAAATAGTTTGAGATTACTGTTCTCCTTGAATCTGTAAATTTGTTCCTTCAAAGATTTTCTTCTGTTCTAGTCTCTTAATTCTTTCCTTCTCATATACCTTATATTTTTGTTCATCCTTTTTTTTTTTACATGGCCCCACAAAGCATAAAAAATATACTACATTATTTTTAGTCCTTTTTCTCTTTTCTTTAGATTGGATTATTTCTATTGCTCTATCTCCAAGTTCATGGAATCTTCTTTCTGTAATCTCTCATCAGCTGTTAAACTAATCTAGTACATTTTTTTATTTCAGACTAGTGGCTTGGTGCATGGATTCATGCACATTGACAGGAAATTAATTAGAAGGTGGCCAGCAGGTGGGACTGGGCGAGATGGGCTGGATACGCCCTGGAGCCAACTTCCTGTGGTCCCTCCCCCATGTCTGTGGAGTGAGTGGGGTCCCTTCAGCAGGTGGGGTCCCTCGGCCTGGCCTGTGGGGATTGGGCCTGAACTGGCTCTCTGACATTCCCCAAGGGGTCCTGGAGTGCGAGAGGGCACTCTGCAAAGTTGCTGTCATATGGGGTGTGGAATGCAAACACAAGCATGCAGTAAACCAGATTCAGGTCTAACAGTGTCCCAGCAACAACATAACCCACGACCGAAGGTGGAATTGCATGGCCCCACAAGAAATCGGGCTCCCTCCTCTCTGGTTTCAGGGTGCATCACCCGAGAACCGCTGCTGCCAAGTCATTGCAGCTCAGCAGCTCCTGTGTTGAGCGTCTGCCCCCTGGTGGTCAGTGCGACTGGTAGGCTGGTCGGACACTTAGCCTTTTATATAAATAGATGTTGTATCTTTCTGCTCTAGAATTTCCAGTTTTTAGTAGTCTTTATTTTTTGAGATTCCTTATTTGTTTATGTATTACAACAATTATTTTACTTTGCATTCCTGAACATGGTTATAATAGCTGCTTTGAAATTTTTATCTGTTAACTCCAACATCTGGGTCATCTCAGAGTCAGTCTCCTTTGATTGCCTTTTCTCTCAAGTATGAGCCACATTTCCCTGATTCTTTGTATGCTAGTAATTTAGATTGTATCTAGGACACTGTGAATGAAACATTACAATGAGCAGCCATTGAAGTGCTTTAAGGAAAGAGATGTGATACTCCTATCTTTGTCTCAGAAGAAAGTGTGCTGGTTACTGCATGGAGAACGGAGTGGATGTGGAAGGCTGCTTCAGAAGTCCAGGAAAGGTGTATTATTAACAGTTACTAGAAAGATGCCAGTGCATGTTGGAATTAAGTAGAGCAGGTTGCAATGAGAGACCTGGAAGGGACTTGGACATCGGCTGCCCATAGGGGCATCTCTTTCTGGATGATCCACTGGTACTTTTTACCCAACAGGCCAAACAGAATGCCATTCACCAACTTCCAATGAGAGAAATCTCAGTAATGCCTGATGCTTCCTGCTTTTCACTCTCAACAGTCAACTACCTGCTAAGTTCCAGCAATTCTTCCCTTAAGATTTCACTACTACCACTGATTGCAGAGCCTTATCCTTTTTCACCTAAATGAGTAAAATTGGCTCCTGACAGACATTCCTATTTCTAGTCTCAGTTGTCTCTATCTGTCTTTGTCTCTGCTTCCAGGCCCATCTTTTCCAAATATACAGCCTACTGTATCTATTCAACAGTTTTTCAGTGCCCCTATTTGGTACAAGAGAAAATCCAAATCCCATAGCATGGCATGTAATGCTTAGCCATGTGACTCTTTCCTCTTATTTTTCAGCAAATGCACCTCTTACCGGCTGGACAAAAAAGGAGGAAATGGTGACCAAGATCTGTCCTCCCTTTGCCAATAGTCTAATGAGGGAGGCAGAGACCATCTTCAACCTCATCTTCCTGTACTGCCTCCTCTGCCCTCACTGCCCTCCCTCAATTTCCTCCAGCACACAGAATTACTTTGCCATTACTAACCACTTTATTCTATTTCTTGATACCTCTGAGTCTTTGGGCATGCTGTTTATTCCTTTTTCCTTTCCTTCTTCCCTTTCTGTTAAGAAGACCTAAATCAAATTTCACTTTTGCTAACTCCCCACACCCTTGATACAGTCATTTTTTTTACCTATTCATTCAAATCTCAATTGAGAATCTCTTTCTTGGGGAGCAGATGTTTTTATAACAGTCCTTCTAACTTCACATTTAACTATCTGTAGCCTCTCCTGTTCATGTGGTAAAACTATAAAATCTTTGGGAGCAGGGAGCTGGTCTACGTCATCTTTGGTTCTGTCATCTAGCACATTGCCCAGCTCTCAGTCAACAGTCAATTGTTTATTTACTCTCTGACATTCTTCTCATTTACAAATGGGGAAATAAAAGTCCAGGGCTGGGAAGTGACAAGTCTTGCGAAATGCCTTGGATTTGTTTTTATGATCACTATTTCTAAGGGGGGAGTAAGTGGTCAATATTTCTCTGGACAATAGATGGGAAGGTTTCATGGAAGGGGCGGGACTAAGTGGAAGCTGGTAGAAGTGAGGGTTAGAGGTATGAAATCTGATCAGTATCTTGATGGCTTTCACAAACTCAATCTATGAACACAGGTTGCTCACTGGAAACCAGAGGGGCTGTAATGAAAAGAGAACTAACCTGCAAGGGCAAAACAAAAACAAACTTGGATTCCCTTCATAGTGTACACCTCCCTGTTTGGCCCTGGACTCGCCCCCCTCTTCTCTCTGGGTACCAACTTCTAATAATAAAATAAACAACACCAGTAATAATAACAACAACAACAATAATAACCACTTAGAGTTATTAAACCTTTACTCTGTTCCTGCTACTATTTTAAAGCCTTTATGTTTTACAGATGAGAAGATCTGCTTTCAAAGAGTTGAAATAACTTGACCAAGGTTACATAGCTAAGTGGTGGAGACAGGATTTTTGCTCCAGATGTTGGACTTGAACCTTAACTAGAAAGATTTTAAAGGGTTTCTGTCACAACAAACATTGGCCATTCTCAAGCTTATTACAAGACTAGAGGGTCCAGTGCAAGAAATTCGTGCACGGGTAGGGTCCCTAGGCCTGGCCAGCAATCAGGGCCGATGGAGGGGCCTTCCTTCCCCAGCTTCTTTTGTTCTGCGCCGACCCCTGGTGGTCAGTGCATGTCATATGAGTGATCGAACTCCCAGTCTCCTGGTCGAACTCCCGAGGGAATCCTTTGCATATTAGGCTTTTCTATATAGAAATTCCTTTTCCTGAAGGTGACTTACATGCCTAGCTCCCTCCCAGCTGGAAAAAACTCACCTGGAAAATAGAGGGATTATCTCTGTCTGCACACACATGAAAGACATGAATCCTTCGAGATACTAGTTATGACCTGAATTAGCTGTGAAGGAAAATCACTATTTTTAAAAATAGTTTCAGCACACAGAAGTCTTATCTGCATGGTCCTATATGTCACTGCTAGTTTCCATCTTTAAATATTATTAATCATATCAGCAATTTAGTAGAGCACCTGCACATACACTACCTTATTCAGTCAACACAGCCGCCGGTTTTCCAGGTGAGGACACAGGGACTTGGCCAGCAAGTTTCTCCAAAGTTTACAGACAATAAAAGGCGATGGTGTTTGAGCTCCAAAGACCCTCTCTGCCATCTTCCCACCTCCGGAACACGGGAATGTCACAATTGCAGGTGTGTCTACCTGTAATTTATGGAAACCACCAGAAATGTACTGAATCACTGAAATGTAAATGCCTGAATTGCCCAAGTAATAACAATCCCAATGTCTTTTGACTAGCTGCTTTAAAAAAAAAACTGATTTTAGAGAAAGAAAGAAGAGGGGGAAGAGTCAGAGAGAGAAAAGGGAGGTGGGGGAAAGGGAAGAGAGAGAAAGAGAGAGAGTTTTGTTGTTCCACTTATTTATGCATTTATTGATTCTTGTATGTGCCCTGACCAGGGATTGAACCTGCAACCTTGGTGTCCTAGTATCAGGACAATGCTCTAACCTACTGAACTGCCCAGCCAGGGGTCAACGGGCTGCTTTGAAGCACATTAGAAGCCCAGTGTTAGGAAGGGCTCCTGAGGGCCACCCGGTCCCCCATTCCTCTCCTCCCTTCACTGGTTCCACCCTCCAGTGTTTGAGGTGGTGGCACAGCCTCCCACGGTGCATCCCTTTTGCCTCTGAGCAGCGTTGAAGGTTATTAGCCTCTTCTCCTGACGGAACTTGGCTTCCTAACATTGTCACCCGTGGGTCCTCGGTCAGCCTTGTGCAGTCACCCTCTAGACATCCTCCAGGTAATTGATTTCAGTCCTCAGCACCCTTGATTCTTTCCATTTCCTCTTTGAACTTGTCTGGATCTCAACTTCCTCATCGAGAAAATGGGTAGATGGACTGGTTTTGTCAGACCTCCATAAAGCGTTCCTCTTGTGACCTTCTGATATTTTAAATATCCAAATAATTGTACCCCAAAACAGAAAAGCTTGCTCACTGCCAGGAACTCTGAAAAAAAAAAGTAAAAAGTGTTTCCTAACATGTTGCCATTGTGTCTTTTCCTTCCTTCCACTTTGTTTGTGTTTTTTCGGAGATGGAGAAGATAGTCCAGAGAAGGTGGGGCCTGCTCATTGTTGACTCGGCCAAGCACTGGAGCAGGGACGGGTCTGAAGTGGTCAGGGATGCTGAAAGCCCCGGGCAGCCCCACCCTTTCCCACCTTGGCTTCTAGCTTCGTTTCCAAATCACAGGGAGGTTTCCAGATAAAAATTCTGATTGACTGGCATTCACCCAGGGTCCCACACGGCCTCCTCTCTGGCACCTTCTCGTAGATTCCTCATACATCCAAGTGCGTCTGTGACTTCCACCACATCTCCCCTGGCGAAGGAATCAAGCCTTTCTGAAATACTTCTGAAATTTATCGAGAAGATCACATGTTTAGGAAACCTGATTAGAGCCACATACGGACTAGAGTGTGAAACAACGGTAACAATAAAAGTAATAACAAATAAATATTTATTGAGGAGTAAATGTGTTCTAGACCCCAGGCTAAGAACTGCATGTGCGTTATGTTCTTTAATTCTCACAATAACACTATAAGGCAGGTGCTATTTTCATCACCATTTTGTAGATGATGAAACTGGGCTTTAAAAGTTTATAAGTGTCACCTGCCCAGTGTCAGACAACTGGCAAATCGGGGAGCCAGAATGGCAGCCTAGGTATGTCAACTCTGATGTCTGAACACTTCATTCAATACTAACTGCTTTATTGTTTTAAACAATATTTTAAAAAGTTTTGCATCTATGTATCTCTTCTTCCATAAAGCCCTCCAGGATGCACACCCCCCCAATCTCATTTAGAGATCCCCACTGTGTTTCATTGAAACTGTGCATCCTTTTATGCTAGTGCTTAGCACACCGTTTAAAACCTTTTTTAATTTCTTCCACTCTAGACAGTAAACTACTCGAAAGAAAGCGAGAGCTGTATCTCTTTGTTTGTATTCCTTGCTCCTGACCCATTTTTCTTCTTTTCTCAGACAGGATTTTAGGGCTCTCTTGCTCTGGATTGTCAATAGCTCTTGGTTTTACAGCCAAAATCAAAAGTTGCTGGATGAGGAGAGACAAACCGCACCCAGTTCTAGGCATCTAGGGGATTCTTCTGAGTGTTCCCACAGGGGATGGAAGCTCGGGCTTTGCATTAAAGAACGGAAACAGCTCAGCTGAGAGGCAGCTTCCCTGAGGTTAAGTAGTGACGAGGTGTTTCAGGGAGCTTTCTGGAGGACTGACTGCTAAATGTCTGTAGGTTATGGTCTAAGCCATGTGTTCACGAGAGACACAGAGAGGGTGTCTATAGCTGAGTCTGGGCTTGGGGCAGAAAAGGGCATGAGGACCACCCTGAGCCCATCTGAAGGACCAATGGCATCCATTACATGGAGCAGCCACAGCAGTAATGATGACATAGTAATGATGTGATAATGATGGTGGGCCCTTAAGTCAGGTCTTCCCCACTGTCATACCCTTTCTGCTCCTAAGAGTCTTACACCCCCTAAGGAAGGCACTCTGTCAAGCATGACAGGTTTCATTTGCTATCAGCCTTCATGTCTGGGGGAGAGACATTCATTATACCAGAATCGGGGAGCACACTCAGACCTGTTGCAAGCACACATGTCTACCAGTGTATGTGCATCAGAGGTTCCCGGGAGAACATGCAAGAGACTGCTGCAGGCAGCTGCCCCAAGACAGTGAGACTGAGTCTGTTTCTATTCTATCCATCCATTAATTTTGTTCATTAGATCCCACCTGTGAGTGAAATCATGTGGTACTTGTCTTTCTCTGACTGGCTTATTTCACTTAGCGTAATGTTCTCTGGGTCCACAGATAGAGAACAGACTGACAACTGTCAGAGGGGAGTGGAGTTAGGGGACTGGGTGAAGGGATGAAGCAAAAAATACAAACAAACTCATAGACACAGACAACAGTTGGTGATTACCAGAGGAAAATGGGGGCGGGGGGAGACAGAAGAGGGTAAATGGGGGATAAATGGTGATGGAAAGAGACTTCACTTGGGGTGGTGAACATACAATACACTATACAGATGATGTATTATTATAGAGTTATACACTTGAAACCTAAATAATTTTATTAACCAATGTCATCCCAATAAATCCAGTAAAAAAAGAAAAAATACATTAAATAATTAAATTTTAAGAAAAGATAGTGAGACAGAGGTTCTAAGGAGAGGGGGAGGTGCATTTTTCATTGGAAATGTTCTTAGATTGCCTGAATATTATATCGTGAGCTTGTGTCATTTGTATAATAATATAAACCGTTAAGTTAATTTATGTAAATACTTGGCTCAGATTCTAAATGACTGGAATTGAATCAGTTCTATGTAGAGACCCAACTTGAGCTTAAGCTGCATTTTCTTGGAGGTTCAAGGGCTGCTGTCAGGGAGCAGGTTGCCTGAAGTTTATGTACATGGGACTTGGAAAAGTCTCCTGAGAAGCAGTGCAGAGAAGGGGAGACTGGGATTCAGAACAATAGTGGTGATAAGAGAAATAACAAACATTTCATCCAGGCGAGTACTAAACGCTACAGAGATCCTCTCGTTCAAGCAGCCAAAACAAGCAGATGTCATCATCTTCCCGGTGGAGTCTGAGGTCTGAGAGGTTAAATACCTACCAAGTGGCAAAGCTAAGATCCCATTCCAAGCAACCAGAAGCCACGTGCCAAGTCCTATCTACACTGGGGGAAGTGAGTAGCATAGGGTGCTGGCCTCCCTGGGCTCCTTCGTGGTAGTGGGGGAAGGAAGCAAGCAGACATTCACACTAAACGGTGCTACTTCTTC